CCCCTTCCAGTCCGGACGCTTTCCCCCCCCCCTTCCAGTCCGGACGCTCCCCCCCCCCCCCTTCCAGTCCGGACGCTTTCCCCCCCCCCTTCCATTCCGGACGCTTTCCCCCCCCCCTTCCATTCCGGACGCTTTCCCCCCCCCCTTCCATTCCGGACGCTTTTTCCCCCCCCCCTTCCATTCCGGACGCTTTCCCCCCCCCCCTTCCATTCCGGACGCTTTCCCCCCCCCCCTTCCATTCCGGACACGCTTTCCCCCCCCCCCCCTTCCATTCCGGACGCTTCCCCCCCCCCCCCTTCCATTCCGGACGCTTCCCCCCCCCCCCCCCCCTTCCGGACGCTCCCCCCCCCCCTTCCATTCCCCCCCCCCTTCCATTCCGGACGCTTCCCCCCCCCCCCTTCCAGTCCGGACGCTTTCCCCCCCCCCCTTCCAGTCCGGACGCTTTCCCCCCCCCCTTCCAGTCCGGACGCTTTCCCCCCCCCCCCCTTCCAGTCCGACGCTTTCTTTCCCCCCCCCCTTCCAGTCCGGACGCTTTCCCCCCCCCCTTCCAGTCCGGACGCTTCCCCCCCCCCCTTCCAGTCCGGACGCTCCTTCCCCCCCCCCCCTTCCAGTCCGGACGCTTTCCCCCCCCCCCCCTTCCAGTCCGGACCCTCCCCCCCCTTCCAGTCCGGACCTTTCCCCCCCCCCCCCTTCCAGTCCGGACGCTTTCCCCCCCCCCCCCCTTCCAGTCCGGACGCTTTCCCCCCCCCCCCCTTCCAGTCCGGACGCTTTCCCCCCCCCCCCCCCCCTTCCAGTCCGGACGCTCCCCCCCCCCCCCCTTCCAGTCCGGACGCTTTCCCCCCCCCCCCCCTTCCAGTCCGGACGCTTTCCCCCCCCCCCCCCTTCCAGTCCGGACGCTTTCCCCCCCCCCCCCTTCCAGTCCGGACGCTTTCCCCCCCCCCCCCCCCCTTCCAGTCCGGACGCTTTCCCCTCCCCCCCCCCCCCCCTTCCAGTCCGGACGCTTTCACCCCCCCCCCCCCCCCTTCCAGTCCGGACGCTTTCCCCCCCCCCCCCTTCCAGTCCGGACACTCCGCCCCCCTTCCAGTCCAGGCCAATTTTCAGCTCTCAGCGCTATCACACTTTGAATGACAATTGCGCGGTCATGCAACACTGTATCCATATGAATTTTTTTTTGCATTTTTTTGAGACGGATAAAGCTTTATTTTGGTGGTATTTATTCACCGCTGGGATTTTATTTTTTTTGCTATATAAATGAAAAAGTCAAAAAATTTTGAAAGTGTTTTTCTTGCAAATAAATAATATTTCATCATAAACCTTGGCCAACATTTATTCCATTATCTTTTTAGTAAAAAAAAGAAATAAAATTTATAATTTTTAAGCATTTTTTTTTTTTTTTTTTACGTTTTTATTTTTTTAGATTATTTGTTTTTTTTTTACATACTGTCACCCTAGCAGTAGTGTCACCATGGTGACACTGTACTACTTGTGGGGGGTGATGAAGATTTTCTTTTTTTTTACACTGATTGCTTTTACACTCATATAGGATGTAAAAGCAATCATTTCTCCTTCTCTCTGGCTGCATTCCTGCAGCCATTGAGAAATACTGTGTGAGCTGTGATTGGTCACAGCTTGTCACAGGGTACGAGGCTGTTATGATTGGCCCTGTACCATGTCATCTCTGTGATCATTCACAGATTTCACACGTAATAAGCAATGATGTCAGAAGTGACATCTTGCTTACTACTCTGCATGTGATCACTGATTGGCCAATCAGTGATCACATGATCGGGATCCCGTCCGACGATTGGTGTTCCGCAGTGCTGCGCGCGCTCCCAGAGAGCACACAAACTGGGCGGGGAGGCTGTTTATACCTGACCCTGCACTGCCTCCGTCCGCCCGTTTATATACAAGGGCCGACGGGAGGTGGTTAAAGGTAGGTTGCCGAATTTCTTCCTGGTTTGGGACATGTGAAGATCCGGGAGAAAAAACCAGCCAGATCTGTGAGTAAAAGCAGCACACAATGCTAGGCACACAGTTACACCTTGATAACCCCTTCCCAGCCAGCGTCATTATTACAGTGACTACGTACAATATTCGATCTGATCACTGTATTGGTGTCACTAGTGACATCAGTTTTTGTGTCCCTCCCAGCCAGTGTCTGTTAGCACCGGATTGCCCGCCACACTATCACAGTCACACTGTAAGTCGCTGGTCACCGCCGTTATCCGTACACTGTATAGCTGCGTAACTTCCAGTATATTTCCCATAGTTTGCAGACGATACAACTTTCACACAAACCAACTTATATACACTTATTGGCATTTCTGGTTTGCTAAAGACATGAAGCCGAATATATTTTGGTCGAAATTTATGAAGAAATTCGATTATCGGATATTTTTTATAACCGAAACTAGAAAAATTTCCTTTTTTTTTTTTTTTTTTTTTTTTTTTTTTTCCAGTGGTGATCAAATACCACCCAAAGTCCTGTTTTGTGTGAAAAAAAAGATATAAATTTCATTTGGGTACATGCATGTTGCATGACCCGCGCAATTACTAGTGGTGCACCGAAATTAAAATTTCTGTTGCAGAAACCCAAAATTCAGGATGAATTTAGGAAAAATGTATATATTTCTCAAACGCAATTTTTTTTAAGGAAAATTGGCCTGGGCAGGAAGGGGGGTAATAAGTACCCGGTAGGCAAGGGGCTAAAGTAGCGCAGTGCCGAGTAGCGAAAAAACGGCCTGGTCATGAAAGGGGTAAAACATGCCGGAGCTCAAGCGGTTGGAAACCTTCGCACGCCGTTGTTTTTGTTCCATGTAATGGTCCGCCTTCTATCACGGCGGATCTGAAAAGGAAACAAGTTGAAGATTCCCTTTTAAAGTTCTGTAATGGCGAAGTTTAACTTTACGCCGCTCAGGAGTTTCACCGTTTGTTTGCCTTCTGCCGAGTGCCGGCGTCTCGGCGCCGGAGAATTCTCCGTGTTTTTCATAATTTCTCCTGCTTTTCTAGCTCTACGTTCAGCATAAACTGTGTCCTCTGAGGGAATACATTAACTCCCGCTCATCTCCCTCTCCCCCCTCTCTAGTTTATGCAGAGGAGCCTTGACCCAGAAACCAAGAAGCAGCTGGAGAAGGATGAGAAGAAGATCATCAGCGACGAGCACTGGTACCTGGACCTGCCCGAGCTCAAGGAGAAGGAGTAAGTGTTAAAGGGGCCCTCCGCTGTGTCTGGCTTGGCCCCGGATCCCCAAAACCCCCGGACCCCATCGAAGTGATATTAAACCCAAAATGTCCTGTATTGCAGCTTATTGCCATGGCCATAGACGGGCGCGAAAATCTGTCGGTTTTTTTTGGGGTTTTTGTTTTTTGTTTTTTTGTCCGATTTTCACACTGTTATGCAGGCCATAGACGGGGAGAAAAACTGCAGATTTACTTTCTTTAAAAAAAACGAAAAATCGGTCATCGTTATCAAGCGGCCGACGTTACCATCAATGGTAAAAAAAAATCGGCTCCGATTTTTCATCCTGTCCTACAGCTGGCAAAAAGTGTCCCTGCAGAGAGCTCCGCTATTTCTTTGACAGTTTTTTGACAGTTCCTTGACATTTACAGCGGTTGCAAACAATGTATCTATTTGTTTCCATTTAGGATACGGATGTTTTTATTCGGAAACAAATAGATACAATGTTACAACCGCTGTAAAATGTCAAAAAACTGTCAAAGAAATAGCGGAGCTCTCTGCAGGGACACTTTTTGCCGGACTGGAAATTCCTCTAATTTTTCATCCTTCTTCTTCTTCTCCTGCTTCATCATCATCCTTCTTCTTCTTCATCATCATCATCCTCTTCTTCTTCATCATCATCCCTCTTCTTTTTCTTCATCATCATCCTCTTCTTCTTCTACTTCTCATCATCATCCTCTTCTTCCTCTTCATAATCATCATCCTCTTCTTCTACTTCTTCTTCCTCTTCATCATCATCATCATCCTCTTCTTCTACTTCTTCTTCCTCTTCATCATCATCATCATCCTCTTCTTCTAATTCTTCTTCCTCTTCATCATCTTCATCCTCTTCTTCTTCTTCTTCTTTTTCTTCTTTTTCTTCTTTTTGTCTTCCTCTTGCAGGTCACTGCTCATGCGCAGATTTTTTATCGGTAAAAAATCGCCGATTAAGCCCATTATTGCTGCGAAAATCGGCCGATCGCCGATTTTTTTTTTCCAACTTTCCCCGATTTAAAAAAACGGCCAAAATACCGAAAAAAGGCCGACCAAATCGCCCACTAACGATCCGAAAATCGGCCGATTTTATTTTCAGCCGAAAAATCGGCCTATTTTCGACCCATCTATGGCCTGCATTAGTGGGTTAATTGGTCGGATTGGTCCGTTTTTTCGGGGTTTTGGCACTTTTTTTTTTTTAATCGGTTGGAAAAAAAATCGTTCCGATTTTTGCCGGCAATGATGGGCAAATCGGCCATCGTTTTACCGATTAAAAAATCTGCGCATGAGCCGTGACCTGCAGGAAGAAGAAAAAGAATTCCAGTCCGCTATTATATTTGACATGAAAGTCTTGCAGTTGCAACAATGTATCTGTTTGTATCCGAATAAAACCATCTGTATCCGAAATGGATACAAATGGATACATTGTTGCAACCGCAAGACTTTTTCATGTCAAATATAATCGCGGAGCTCTCTGCAGGGACAGAAGTAATTAAATGCCGGCCGTAGACGGGACGAAAATTGGGCGATTTTTTTTTTTTTTTTTTTTTTTTTTTTTTTTTTTTTTAACCATTGGTGGTAACGTCGGCCTATTGAACGACTGATTTTTTTTATTTTTTGTTTTTATTTTTTTTTAAAAACAGCCGGTATTTGACCCGTCTATGGCCTACATTACCAATCATTAGATGTGGCGATTATGACAAACGTGTGGTGCCCGACCCCCCCCCCCATTTAGTTGCTGACTTTTAAAATACAGCCACTGTTTTTTTTTTTTTGCCCGTCCCATGATCCCGCAGTGTCGTCCTCACTATGGCTGGTTTCACCAGCCATCTTCTCTCCCCGGCATCTTCAGTGTGGGCACCCGGCTGTGACAGCTTGCGGCTTCACAGCCGGGTGCCCACTGCGCATGCGCGAGAAGCGCTGCGCTTTGTGAATGGTCCTGTAGGCTTCTGGGACCTGTCACGTGTCCCAGAAGACAATGGGGAGGGAGGACAACTTCCACTTCTGAAAGCCTAGGACACGGGTGTGAAACTGGCTGTTGCCAAACTACAAGTCCCATGAGGCATTGCAAGATTGACAGTTACAAGCATGACTCCCAAAGGCAGAGGCATGATGGTAGATTCACAACAACTGGAGGCCTGCCAGTTTGACACCCCTGACCTAGGTGATTGCTGCGAAAGTGGGGAGCGGGTACCTGTCAGTTTCAGGTACCCCTGCTCAACAAAGTTGCCAATCCTTAATGGGAAGCGAGGGCAAAGGCGATGCTTCCCTTTTATGTGTGTGTGTGTATGTGTGTGTGTGTGTGTGTGTATGTGTGTGTGTGTGTATGTGTGTGTGTGTGTGTATATATATGTGTGTGTGTGTATATGTGTGTGTGTGTGTATATATATGTGTGTGTGTGTGTGTGTGTGTGTGTGTGTGTGTGTGTGTGTATGTGTGTGTGTGTGTATATGTGTGTGTGTGTGTATATATATGTGTGTGTGTGTATATATATGTGTGTGTGTGTATATATATGTGTGTGTGTGTGTATGTGTGTGTGTATTTGTGTGTGTGTTTATGTATGTATGTGTGTGTGTGTTGTGTGGTATGTGTATATATATGTGTGTGTGTGTGTGTATATACATTCATTTATACACACACACACACACACACACACACACACACACACACACACACATATATATACACACACACATATATATACACACACACACATATATACACACACACACATATATACACACACACACATATATACACACACACACATATACACACACACATATATACACACACACACATATACACACACATATATATATACACACACACATATATACATACATATATATATTACACGCACATACTAATATTTAACAAAATGCTGCAAAGTCGTAAAGTGAGGAGCCCATGGGCGGGGCACAGGGCGACTGCAGAATCAGCCTTTGCCTTTTATTTCTCTTCCTCCTCGCACTCTCACATCCTGACCGCATTATTTATCGGCTTTGTATTAGAAATGGGTTTTTAAAATGCAGAAGGCTGCAACCTCTAATAATTGGAAAGCCGCGTGTTCAGCCCTCCACCGGCAGCTCGCTGACATCTCTAATTTACAGTCAGCCTGGCGAGCAGAAGGCGCCGAGCCGTCCCTCTCCCCTTTCTCTCTTATTATTATAGATTCTGGAGCCGGGATTTGGAATCCTTAAATACTTTCTTCCATTGATCTTCGATTGCAGCAGCCGGTTTTTAAAGGTGAAGAGTCACCAGGATATTAACTGCCACTTAAATGGCTCCTGAGATGGCAACACATTCTCCATTATTTTATTTTTTTTTCTCTCCTTTGTATTGATTTTATTATCCACTTTTGAAACGGGTCATTTGGTTGTTTCAGTTAAATGGATGGATGTTTGATACAGTAACACAATTCTGTTAGAGATGTGGAAGTGTCATGGTGGTCTGTTTGCCCAGCACCCTCCCCCAGAGATGGCTGCCGGCACACACGCGGCTCATTCCTTTTTCATTTAGTTTTGCTTTTTGTATAGTGATACTAAATGCAATTTTTTAAAAATACCAAAAATTTTATACTTCCCTTCCCTGTGTGATGGTTCTGCACAGAGCATCCCCAATGCTCCGCCTCTTGGGTCCCCCACCAGCGCTCCTGGATCCTCTCCTTGCTGACTTCCCCCCATAGCAAGCCTCTTCCTATAGGGGCATTCGTGCATGCTTGCTCCTGAGCCCCGCTCCGTGTGTCCATACACAGAGCGTCGCTCAGCCCCGCTCCATCTTCCCTGGCTTTGATTGAGAGTAGCGAGAGCCACAAGTTTCCTGCTGCTGTCTTTAAGCCAATGAGGAGGGAAAGATCTGGGAGAGCTGCTGCTCTCATGCTCATCACTGGATTGAGATTGTGCTCGGGTACGAATTGGTGGGGGGTGCGGGGGTGGAAGGTAGGTGGGTGGCTGAGGGGAAGGGGGGTGGCGCTGCACACACAAGGTTTTTTACTTTCATGTATGGAATGCATGTAAGTAAAAAAACATTCAGTCTTTTGAATCACTTTAGTGCAAGATTAGAGGGTTGCATGTGAGAAGGTCTAGTCTTGATTGAAAGTTTAAAAGATATGACAGATTCACCAAGTATGATAGATTCACCTAAGTACATTTTGTGTGCGTGTGTATATACCGGCGGGGCGCGACTCCTCCCGCCAACACCACCGGCGGGGCGCGACTCCTCCCGCCGACACCACCGGCAGGGCACTGCTGTTCTATATTAAGAAGAACTCCCACAGCTTTATTTCTGTATATATATGTAAATCCTCCTTGTTAGACGGTTCCATTTACTCGCAGCACTTTGTATGAGGTGACCCCTCTACACCACTGGCGGGGCACGACTCCTCCCGCCGACACCCACCGGCGGGGCGCCAGTCGGTGGTACTTTGTATGAGATGACCGCTCTACACCACCGGCGGGTTGCGCCTCCTCCCACCGACACACCACCGGTGGGTCGCAACTCCTCCCGCCGACACCACTGACGGGTCACGACTCCTCCCACCGACACCACCGATCTGGCACGACGGCTCCTGCTGACACCAACGGTGGGGTGTTGCTGGTCTGTATTAAGTCCTCCCTCCGACGCCACCGGCGGGGTGCCAGTCCTCCCTCCGACGCCACCGGCGGGGCGCCAGTCCTCCCTCCGACGCCACCGGCGGGGCGCCAGTCCTCCCTCCGACGCCACCGGCGGGGCGCCAGTCCTCCCGCCGACGCCACCGGCGGGGCACTGCTGTTCTATATGAAGAAGAACTCCCACAGCTTTATTTCTGTATATATATGTAAATGCTCCTTGTTAGACTGTTCCATTTACTCGCAGCACTTTGTATGAGGTGACCCCTCTACACCACTGGCGGGGCACGACTCCTCCCGCCGACACCACCGACGAGTCACGCCTCCTCCCGCCGACGCCACCGGCGGGGCGCCAGTCCTCCCTCCGACGCCACCGGCGGGGGCGCCAGTCCTCCCGCTGACACCACCGACGGGTCGCGACTCCTCCCACCGACACCACCGATCTGTCACGACGGCTCCCGCTGACACCAACGGCGGGGTGTTGCTGGTCTGTATTAAGTTCTCCCACAGCTGTATTTCTGTATCTATATGTAAATGCTCCTTGTTAGACGCTTCCATTTACTCGCAGCACTTTGTAGGAGGTGACCCCTCTACACCACCGGCGGGTCGCGACTCCTCCCGCCGACACCACCGACGGGTCGCAACTCCTCCCGCCGACACCACCGATCTGGCACGACGGCTCCCGCTGACACCAACGGCGGGGTGTTGCTGGTCTGTATTAAGTTCTCCCACAGCTGTATTTCTGTATCTATATGTAAATCCTCCTTGTTAGACGCTTCCATTTACTCGCAGCACTTTGTAGGAGGTGACCCCTCTACACCCCATCAGGCAAGTGAGGAAAGTGATTTTTCTTTTCTTGCTTTTCATTATCCTAAAAACATCTATAAAGAGACTTTTTTTTTTATTTTTTTTTCCCGTTTTCAGAATGTCACCGCGGCATACTTGGCTAATACATGTAAACATTTATAACACATCCTCATGAATAGAAGTATTTTAAAGTCTCTTCCTTTATGTCTGGGACAGAAAATCCTGGGAATGTATTTGTGGCGGATTCTCGCTGAACACTTGTGATGTTCTCTTCTATTGTCGGAGATCCTGCAGCAGGATGACCTTCAGGCACATAATAAAGGGGAAAAAAACTTCATTCTCTCTAGATTCATACAATTATATTTTTAAACCGCGGCGTGTAATTGGCTGTAATCCTTCTTTATGTTGAACATTCCGTCCAGACGGCATTGTGAATGGAGCTGGGAAGTGAGAGTACGACTTACCTGCTCGAGGCTTCGGCCTTTCATCCAGACGTGGCGGTATAGAGATTGACCTTGGCAGGGATTCATTCTTCTAGTGCGGGGCTTGTCAACTTATGAGCTGCAGGGGGCCCCGAGTGTGGCCCCTGACATCACCAAAAGGGCCACACGTAGTTCTGTATACAGTTGTGCTCACAAAATGTCCCTCCCCAGGTAGAAATGGTGACATTTTGGCATTGATATTGAAAATTTGACCGATCTTGCCAAAAATTGTCATTTAGGGATAATGATGTGAAGCCATTTATTATCGCATAATTGTTTGGCTCCTTCTTAAAGCGGAGCTCCACCCAAAAGGGCAAGTTCTGCTTTAAAGACTGGTCCCCCGCTCACCATTAAGCATTGGCACCTTTGGGGGGGCGGGGGGGAGCGGGTACCTGAATTTGACAGGTACCCGCTCCCAGTTCCGCTCCGATTTCCTAATTCAAAGGAGGGAAAGTTTTGATCCGGGCCATTTGGGGGATTTCTGCTATCATTGGGGTTTAAAAGGGAGCAGAATGACTATGGGAGGGTGTCAAACTCCATTTCATCGCGGGACGTATCAGCATTATAGCTTCCCTCAATGGGTCGGTTGTATCTGTAAGACTAGATGTCCAAAGCTTCCCCCCCCCCCCTTACGTCAGATGCCAAGAATCCCACACCATCCCTAACGGGGAGCTGGAAAGGAGGACGTGCAGGGTCTGGAGGAGGACAAGAGGAGGAGCGGAGTCAGTTACCAGAGTCTGCTGAATGCTGAGACCAGGGGAGGCAGAGATGAGGGGGGGCTGCAGCTGCACAGAGAGGTGCAGGATTTGGCAGAGGAGTTCTATTTTCCTCTCTGCTGCCAGAGAGGGGGTACTTGCAGGAGAGGTGCAAGGGCCACATGAAATGACCTGAAGGGCCGGTTTCGGGCTGCGGGCCTTGTGTTTGACTATGGGTTAATAAATGGCTTCATATCATTACTATCCTTATCCTCTTCACGCCGGCCGAACGCAAATGTGTGGCCCTCCCAGCGTCTGGGCCTAGACACCGAGCGGCCGCACATTTGCGTTGTATTAAAAAAAGACGCGCTGAGAGCGATCCCAGCACACATGTCCGGTACTCACGGAAAGGTCCTGATCTCCTCTTTCGATCAGGACCTTTCCCGATCATGTTACGGCAGTCACATGACCCTAAACTCCGCCTCCCAGCTTCTGAAACCCTTAAAGGGACAGGAGGCACCAGCGTGAAGGGGTTAAATAAAATACTTTTTTTTTTTTTTTTTTTTTTTTTTTGCAGGATCAGTCAGATTTTCAATACCAATACCAAAGTTAAAGTAGTGCAGTGTTGAATAGCAAAAAAATGACCTGTTCATGAAGGAAGTAAAACGTTCCGAAGCCGAAGATA